TAAAGACTGTCAATGTTGAAAATATAATATACCTATTTTTGATTGGCTGCTAAATGACCAATACTGAACAAGTTCCTTGTTAACACATAACAGCAAATATGCTAGGCTACCTTACTGTCCCAGGAATCTCTCTTTTTTTTTAACTTTTAATTTTAATAAATATTGATTATTTTATCGGGTCGAATATATAAATGTGTTCTTTGTGTTCTATACATCAACAAAGCAATTCACATAATATTTTCATTTTTGCTGTGAAATCACTTTTGAAACCCTGAGTGCTAAAATAAGCAAGGACGTGGGCAATATTTTACACAGTGCGATCAACTTCCTCAGGAAGGGGACACCTCCCTCTAAGTAAACTTATATACAGCTATTTTCATTAAGCAAACATAAGGAATTCGTCTGGATATTTTTTTCAGAGAGCAAATCAAACCGAAACATTCTCGGCGATCGACAAACCTAACAAATGGATATTTTCATGTTGGTTATGGTTTTCTCTACTTTATTTCGAGGTAAGGATATTTCAATTGATAAAACAAATGATCTGTTTACTGAAGTCATTGATGAATTTCTTAGAAACTATCGAAACAATCGCACTCTATAACGTAGAGAGAAGTTGATATTTTTGTGCCCATTCTTTCATTGTTTTGCATATTGATTGATTTATACCTAGAAATCATAACCAGCAGTATATAAGAAATGATAGAATAAAAAAACACGTGAATATCTTATTTGGAGAAAACAAAGTATTGCTTACAATACTAGTAACATTCTTATCTGTTTCTTAAAAATCAATCAAAAAATGGGAAAAAAACATTCTTCAAATGTCATTTTAACTACATTTTACCTTTTACGAGTTTTTACACAAATGTACTACCTGTCGGAATAAAGCTAGATGGTTAAGATTTGTTTCATAAAAAGTACTTGTAAGCAGCGGGTGGTTATCAGTGGATAGCACATCAGCGTATGTTAGATCTACGGGAGTGAGTTTCATATTGAATTCCACGTACGCTTTTTTAATCCTTTTCATTCTTTTTAATCCGATAAACATTTTACAAATGGACAAACTAGTATAGCATCCTATAAATAATTTCTGTTGTGAGTATGCATGTAAGAAGATATCCCTAAAGAATGCAAGAAGTTGATCTTTTTCTTTCAATCTTCTTCTTTTCCATGTTTTCCAAATGTCACCACACACAACATGGGCAGTGTGTGGTTATAGAAATGTTGTCAAACGGTATGCAGTGTGTAATTACAGGAAGGTTGTCAAACATATAGAATAACGGTAGGTAGTGTGTAGTTACAGAAATATTGCCAAACATATAGAACAACGGTAGGTAGTATGTAGTTAAAGAAATGTTGTCAAAAATACAGAACAAAGGTAGGTTGTGTGTAGTTTCAGAAATGTTGTCAAACGGTAGGCAGTGTGGAGTTACAGAAATGTTGTCTAAGGGTAGGTAGTGTGTATTTACAGAAATGTTGTCACACGGTAGGCAGTGTGTAGTTACAGGAAGGTTGTCAAACGGTAGGTATTGTGTAGTTACAGAAATGCAGTCTAAGGGTAGGTAGTGTGTAGTTACAGAAATGTTGTCACACGGTAGGCAGTGTGTAGTTACAGGAAGGTTGTCAAACATATAGAACAACGGTAGGTCATGTATAGTTACAGAAATGTTGTCAAACATATAGAACAACGGTAGGCAGTGTTTATTTACAGAAATGTTGTCAAACATATAGAACAACGGTAGGCAGTGTGTAGTTACAGAAATGTTGTCAAACATAGAACAACGGCAGGCAGTGTGTAGTTACAGAAATGTTGTCAAACATATAGAACAACGGTAGGCGGTGTGTAGTAACAGAAATGTTGTCAAACGGTAGGCAGTGTGTAGTTACAGAAATGTTGTCAAACATAAAGAACAACGGTAGGTCATGTGCAGTTACAGAAAAGTTGTCAAACATATAGAACAACGGTAGGCAGTGTTTATTTACAGAAATGTTGTCAAACATATAGAACAACGGTAGGCAGTGTGGAGTTACAGAAATGTTGTCAAATATATAGAACAACGGTAGGCAGTGTGTAGTTACAGAAATGTTGCCAAATATATAGAACAACGGTAGGAAGTGTTTAGTTACAGGAATGTTGCCAAACATGTAGAACAACGGTAGGTTCTGTGTAGTTACAGGAAGGTTGTCAAACGGTAGGTAGTGTGTAGTTAAAGAAATGTTGTTAAACATATAGAACAAAGTTATGTTGTGTGTAGTTAAAGAAATGTTGTCAAACATATAGAACAAATGTAGGTAGTGTGTAGTTACAGAAATGTTGCCAAAGATATAGAACAAAGGTAGGTTGTATGTAGTTACAGAAATGTTGCCAAACATATAGAACAAAGGTATGTTGTATGTAGTTACAGAAATATTGCCAAACATATAGAACAAAGGTATGTTGTGTGTAGTTGCAGAATTGTTGTCTGATGTGGAATGACACGTATTGATGACTGAATTTTTTTTGTGTTAGAGAGCTTCACGTCAGGGACAGAATTTTTCTGCAGTGATGAAAGGATGCCATTCAAAAAAGCCAAAACATTCTGCAGCACTAGAAATGGCAGCCTCGTCGTGTTTGCTTCTGAACCTCGACCGAACAGATGGTGCTGCGGGTAATGTTTCAAATTTCCATTTCAACGATGATTAATATCAGTATTTACCCTATATATGTACAACAACGACAAGATTTATCAGAACCTCATCAGTTCGTCTTGTTGGTAAGCGTTCTCATTGTACCCCGAATTTTATGGTTAGATGAGCAATTTTGTATTTAAAACAGTCAAAATGCATGTTGATCGTCAAGATTAGTCTTCATGGCTAAAAGTAATCTACTTCGAATGTTCGCGTCAAAATGTTCAACAAGTGGCATTGGGTAAGAACAAATATTCAACAAGACTATCAGTGAAACTGGTAAGAGCTCCCCAGAAACAGCTTCATTGGAGAAAAATTTAATCCAAGAACCCTGAAGTTGGTATATTGTACATTCTCTTAGTATGACCAATGTATACACCAAGTTTCAACAACTCCTTAATTATGCAAAAGAGAGTTGTGGTTCTTATACACTGTACTTCTCCTTATCGAGATCTATATACCGATGCTGTTTCATGTGGATATCTCTTACAGTTTTTGTGATATGACCTGGACAAACTTTTGACGGACGGCGAGACGAACAAACGGACGGACAAAGCGGCGACTATATGTTTTCCCTTCAGGAAGCGTAATTACCAATGAAAAATGCTTTTAATCAACCTACTACAGCACTGTGATTTTATATTGTGTCCTCCAGGAGTCAAGTCAAATACTGGACAGGTATAAAATTAGATGAATCTTGCAGAATTCAGGGACCGGGGTTTATTGAACAGTCATCAAAGGAACATTGGAACCCAAATGATTGCAAGAATAGGCAATGTGTTACTGTTAAAAATAATGGAGGCCTTCAATTACGCCATTGTGGTGGAAATTTTAAGGCCTTATGTTCAAATGGTAATGTATCAGGCTACGTTCTTGTAAGTATTTTTAGCTCACTTTTCAAAGGGCAAGCGATATTATGATTTGACTTGGCATTCGTTGTTTTTAACGAGGGGATTCCATTTCACTTTTATTTAAAGGAATGAGCTCAACCCATGCTGAAGGCCACAGAGACCACATGTAAATAACTTAAAACGACTTTTCTGTAATCAAAAGGCTCATTTTCATAATAAAGAACCAATCGCATACCGGGATAAGTGTTATCAAGTGTCTTAAAATAAATCATCATTACTCACTTGACAACTTCAAATTGCTTTTAATATCGAATTGGCACTTGGTCATGACATTTCTTTATTACATTTGTCTAAGAGGATCTTCGCTTTAGTGTAAAACTACATTCCCGGCCAAGATTATAGTCGCTAAAAATATATATACATGTATTTCACCATCAACGTCAGTCTTTCATCCGTATATACGTCATCTTAGCCAAAGTCGTTATGTCTTAGTTCTGTAAGAGAATATAGGTAACACAATTTACGCTGCCTGTAAATCTTTGCTCTGACTTTTAAAAGTCAGACAGGTATACCAATACAGGTATAAACATCTTCGCACTGAAAATCTCATCTTTATTTGATTAATTAGAATTGTTCGCACCCATATAGCCAAATTTAACAAAAGCAAGACCCAAAAACACTATATTTTTACTTTAAAGAGTCCATAACTCCTTGATCAAAAGGATGAAAATCATTCAATAATACATATACAAATAATTTTTAAATATTTTTAAAACATTATATACATTTAATTATAGATACTGTCACTATAGCGCTACACAACAGATCAGAAGAGCAGGCGTGCGATGGGGATAATTCGTCACCTACCACAACGACATCTCCAGTGGCATCGACTATCAAAACATCCGTGACACCAGTGACATCGACTATCATAACATCCGTGACACCAGTGGCATCGACTATCATAACATCCGTGACACCAGTGGCATCGACTATCATAACATCCGTGACACCAACCACAGGTGAATATGTTGGAAATGGTAGTTGTGTCAAATGCTGTGCTAAAAACTATACAAACAAACGGTATAGCGAGGAAGAGTTGATGAACATCATACAAGACCTGAAACGTCAACTGACGGTAAATAAATCCAGCTTGTCAGCTACTCGACGTAAACTGGTCAGTGTTTACGACTCTCGGCCAAGCAGTGTTGCCGTCGGAGGTGTGGCTATAGCCATTTTGGGTGTATTAATTGCCGTAATTATTATACCGGACATGGTCAGTCTGCTCAGATTCATGTACAAACGTCCACGAAAAAAATGGCCTTAGATATAACACTGGTGAGAAAGTAACTGCTGGAAGCTGGAATCAGTAATTGTGACAGCAATAAAGGAACGTAGGAAACACAAATATCGGAGGAGTATACAGCGGATGTTTATATGTATGATATGGAGACTCGGACTTAGAGGCAATCAGACAATATGGAGAGAGGCAAAGAGAGAGTACTACAACTACATAGGGTGTGATTTTTTTTATAATTTCATTGATTACTTTTTCATGTTTTAACACTTTTTTTCCATTTTTTTTAATATTCTGAAATGTATTTTATCCCGAATAAAATGTTATTTCTACAGCACTTTTTTGTTGTCTTTTATAGTTTTAGAAAATGCACTTTTTCAAGACATAGCAAGATCAGCAACACTCCTTATTCGTCTTTTATTTCCTAACACTAGTATTGATATGTTTATCAAAAGAATTATAATTATCAAACTTTCATATCATTTTCCGTATATCAGTTTTGAAATATCGAATTGTCAATTTCCAAACATGTGGTATACGGCTGACTAGAACCCTGTTTTGCCCTGACGTCTGTCACAAACTTTATACGATCACTTGCTGCACAAATGGAAGGACGTGAGGCCGGATGAATTCGTCATGGTATCTAATGCTTGTAAGTGTGTCGTTCACCACCACAAGACCTGTTCTACCACGAAATGAGGTGTCACCTCACACCCTGACACAACCTCCACCAAATTGTCGTCGTTGAATCTCACAACTGTCATGGAAACGTTCACTAACACGACGGCATACTCTAGAACGACCGTCGCTGCTTTCGAGATGAAACATGGGCTCGTATTCATAAAACCGTTCTCATGCTCCAGCATGAACTTTGTGCTCAAGCCTTATGTCTTCTTTAAGTTAAAAATTAATCAATAATGCTGATTTTGCCGAAGATTTTAAAAAACAATTGAAAGGACTTCAAGTCAAAGTTATATTCAATGTTTATATTTGACATTTGTATTATTTTATATGATGTAGGCGAAATATAAAAAAAAGTCTGCTTGAGCCAAAATCTATGCTTGAGCATGAGAATGGTTTCATGAATACGGGCCCTGGACTCATCCGTGAAAAGAACATGTGCCCAGTCCTGCCGCGTTAAATGTGTATGTCGTCTATACCTGCTGGAGAACAGGACGTATGGCTGAGTCGTTCACGGAGATGAACGATTCGGATATACGTATCCTGGCGATTAGACGTCACGCTTGGATGTCCTGACCAAGGTCCGTCTCTGGTGGTCCCTATCTGTTGTACCGTCTTCACTATGCGTCACAAGGTCTCTATAGTATTTCGGTGCACACCAAATTGTCTGGCAATGTCAGTATGGCATACGTACACCAGTTTCGATCATGCTTACGCGCGCGGCATCTGTCAGTTTCAATAAACCTTGGCATGGTATATCAAAGACGGTTGTCAAAGTTATGCTATTTTTAAGAGTAACTGGTATTTTAACACTATGGTTTTACGCAGGTTTAGGCGACAAACGTATCTGCGAATGACTACTGACTGAAAAGAAATGTGAAATTGAAGACATAGGCCAAACTGATTAACTAACCATGCAACTCATGCATTGACCAGTGTAAATGACGGGGAGGCATATACAATTTATCTGTGTAACGTTGCAAGCATTGATTAATTAAATAAGACAACATCCGAAAAATTGTGCTGTGCCGTCGATTGCTCTAGCAAGGACGTTTATTATTGGGGTTTTTTTGTCAGATTTATTAAAATTATGAAATTATTACATGATTCCAACTACATACCAAGTCAATGCGTTTGAATTGTCGAAGGCATAAATAGAAATGAACGTACCACGACATTACTAGTGTAGAGCATAGTCTACTGCCTTACTATTGTTTGCTAGATTCCAGTATTTTACATTCCTTGAAATAAAATCGATCCCTCCCACAATGAACGAGAGAAGGGAGGTCATGTACCGGAATCAACGAGAGAAATGTAATTTGGGAAGGCTGTATAAGTCATAATAGAATTTAGGTCATAAGAACGAAAGTTGGAATAAAAAGTTGTATTAAAATAAAACAACACAATAAACACATTACACCTCACCATTAGACGAATTAGTAATGAAGTTGTGATAGAAAGCGCCATGCCAAACAAGCGTTCTTTCAGGTGTAGTGGTGCCCACCATTTAATGATCTCTATGTGTATTGCAAGCTTTTTCCAGTTCGATATTATCTCTTTTTTTTCTTTCCTCTCTGATTTGCTGTGAACATTGAACATTGATAAAAAGCTCAAAGTGACAGAGTGAAACATGTATGCAGGTCAAAATTATTCCGGTACTTCAAGTTACAACGATAGCAAACTAGAAATTATCTTATTCCAAAATGACAACCTGTCAACTATTATGTGCTCAAATAAGAAATGCAATCTTATGGTCATTGTGAATACAAATTTGAAATATGAGAATGATGCTCCCAACAGCCCTCACGAAATAGGTATAATACTGATATTTTGTATATTTTTCTATCTCGCCTAAAAATCAAATAAAACTTTTTTTTATTTTAAATCAATTTCAATATATTTCTACAAGTACATGTATTTTGTAAGTTTTCCTTTTTCCTATAAAATAATTAACTTTATTATTGTAAAGAGTTCTGACATCTGTCACTTAGCTATAAAGTTACGTGAGAGTTCAAATTACGTTCATGCTCAAATTAAGTATCACCTATACCAAGCCACATTATTTGAAGGCTAAAAAGGTCTTGCAAACAAGATTTATTTTCTTACAGTCCAGTCATTTGTTCTCTGCGGTCAGTCTAAGTGATCTTGTTAATCCCAGCTGTCATACCAATTAAGAACTCAGGTATAGGCTTTATTCAATCGTTCGTCCTTTGTTAAAGAATTATCGGCCGTGTCACAATCAATTAGGACTCAGGTAGGCTTATGTAACAAACCTGCTAGAAAGATGTTTTTCACTTTTTTCTTTGTCCGAACCCACGTTATGCCTTGACCAATCAACTTGAAAGGTCCCAAGATCTGACCAATCAAACGACAAAACGACGTTAAAGATTGGTGGAGATCCCTAAGATCTTGATGCCTGGATACAGAAAATCAGTACCTGTCAATCAGCGATAGGACTAGAGCGTCCACAGAACAACCAGCTTCAAGGGAACAACCTGAACCACACCCTGAACCCCATCCTGAACCCAAACCTTAGCCACACCCTGAACCCCACCCTGAACAACCACCCTGAACCCCGACCTGAACCACACCCTGAACCACACCCAGAACCACACCCTGAACCACACCCTGAACCATACCCTGAACCACACCCTGAACCACAACCTGAACCACACCCAGAACCACACCCTGAACCACACCCTGAACCACAACCTCAACCACAACCTGGACCACACCCTAAACCCCACCCTGAACCACAACCTCAACCATATGCTGAATCCCACCCTGAACCACACCTGAACCCCACCCTGAACCACAACCTGAACCCCACCCTGAACCATACCCTGAACCACACCCTGAACCACAACCTGAACCATACCCTGAACCACAACCTGAACCACACCCTGAACCACAACCTGAACCATACCCTGAACCACAACCTGAACCACACCTTAACCACACCCTGAACCACACCCTGAACAGCAAATTGTGGACCATGTGGAGGATTTGTTACCACCGCAACCACCAGAGCTAATTTCATATAACATGACTTCAGGAGGGATTAACCTGAAGAAGTACAATTGGTCAGAACCTCCATTGTTATGGCTGTCCACCTTAAAGTCGTGGCAGGACTTCCATAACCTGTCCGATGACAGAACAATGGCTGCCATGTCCTTCAACATGGAAGGGGCCGCAGCATTGTGCATTACAAGGTTTATCTGGTGATGACAAGACAGACTTCACCAAGTGTAAAGAACTATTCGTCACGATATTTGGACAGAGAGATTTCGATAACAAGTTTTTTAGCACCAAACAGCAACCAGATGAGAACGTTGATCGATATCTAGAGAGAATAGAGAAACTGGCCCTTGGGCACAACTTTCCAGAGTGCTCTAAAATGCAGGTCGCAAAGAATGGCCTGCACAGTAAGATAAAAAGCATGGTGCTTGGAAAAGAACCCACCACCTTTATGGATTGAGACATTATGTGGATTTAGCAAAAGAGGAGCTGGCGTGCTGCTCTGACTCGACAACATCAACATGGTGTCAGCGGTAAAACTGTGTGATGAAATCGTCACTAAACTCCAGACTGACTTCAAAGAGAAGTTAGAAAGTGTTCAGCAAGAGGTGTCAGCTATTGCTGCAAAACACACAGGAAAGAGTCAGCATCAGTTTAAAACCATTCAAAAGAAGCAGCAGCAGTCACAACCTTTCCAACCACAGCGGCAGCAACACTTCCACCTCCAGCAGCCATACCAGCCTCAGCAGCAACTATTCCACCTCCAGCAGTCATACCAGTCTCAGCAGCAAAAATTCCACCTCCAGCAGCAATACCAGCCTTAGCAGCAACAATTCCACCTCCAGCAGCCATACCAGCCTCAGCAGTAACAATTCCACCTCCAGCAGCCATACCAGCCTCAGCAGCAAAAATTCCACCTCCAGCAGCCATACCAGTCTCAGCAGTAACAATTCCACCTCCAGCAGTCATACCAGCCTCAGCAGCAACAATTCCACCTCCAGCAGCCATACCAGCCTCAGCAGCAAAAATTCCACCTCCAGCAGCCATACCAGTCTCAGCAGCAACAATTCCACCTCCAGCAGTCATACCAGCCTCAGCAGCAACAATTCCACCTCCAGCAGCCATACCAGCCTCAGCAGCAAAAATTCCACCTCCAGCAGCCATACCAGTCTCAGCAGCAACAATTCCACCTCCAGCAGCCATACCAGCCTCAGCAGTAACAATTCCACCTCCAGCAGCCATACCAGTCTCAGCAGCAACGATTCCACCTCCAGCAGCCATACCAGCCTCAGCAGCAACAATTCCACCTCCAGCAGCCATACCAGCCACAACAGTCTTTCCAACCACAGCACCAGCAGCAGCAGTTCCAAAACCAGCCTTTCCAAGCACAGCAGCTGCCAAGATTCACAAATAGAGGGCCATGCCAAGGATGTAGTAAGTCATGCCAAAGGCGTTTTTTATGTCCGGCATACAATATACAATGATCTTACAAATTTGGCATCATTTTGTAGATGTGTGAAGGCGTAGGAAATTCAACCAACGTTTTGTGTGTTGTTGGAAGGTTATTTTTGTTTTTATTGGAATCTGAAAAGATTATGGAGACAGCCTGTTAAGTTTCTTATTCTTTATTGGCGTCACAGCTTCTGGTGGATACATGTACATACAATCAAATACAAAACAATCATACATTTGAAAATCTTTGTTACTGATATACAATATCAATCGCGAATTAAACCACAATGAGAATTTAATTACAATACAATGAAATTCAATGCAGAAAATAATAAGTATTTGCACTGACTGATATGAACAAAATAAAATGGGGGAAATTAGCTAAAATGGTCAACCTAGAAAAAGCAGTAGAGCTACTCATGCTCAACAGTGAAAAGGATGTCTATGGGAATATTAAATGTTAGCAACAAGGAACAATACAAGGGTAACTGGATAAAATGTAATATCCAACTAATTTGGAAATATTTACATGATTGAATACATAATGATATCGAGGTAGAGTACAATTCATTAACAACTATTAGAATAAGTTTAATCAACATGAACTATTTATAAGGTAAAGATAAATTGATAAATGTAAATAAAATACAGTTTAAGGGACATAATAAGATATTTACAATGTAGTTTTGAATTGTGATACATAAGAACTTTAAATAAGTCACTAGTTTACATCAGAAATGACAACATCCGGTTAACATATTTACTTCCGGTTTGAACATGAACTTCCGGTTTATAAAAGGTTAGCCTATTCACAAATGTCAGGAATTATTAATTATACAATAGGAATCTGGCAAGTAAATATAGTAAGATGTCAGCAATAGATATGTCTTTAAATCAAGTATTTATCTTCGAATAATATCTATGATCTGTAAATCAGATACTTTCAGTAAAATTAAACTCAATATAGAAAGTAAGCTTATTTGTGCTAACAACACTTTAGCCCTAATCTCCAATGCAAACTTTCGGGAAATACCCCTAACCTCAAGATACTTTAATTTAATAACTCGTCAGTAATCATGATTATGATTTCTACAAATTACTTACAATCGATCGATCAAGATGAGGTTGGCCAAACATATTCAAAGTCATGATGATTAGTTTCATAAACTTACTCAAACATGTGTTTGTTGTGTTTGAAATCTGGATGGTATTAATAAGGAAGGGAGGTAACTCTTATCCGATATACTGAATCTTTTTGTACAAAGCGAGTGCGGTAAAGGTACCGAACATTTGATACAAGTTAATTTTATACAAATGAGTACATATAAATTTAGATTACGGTTACTTGTATTTTCTATAAAATGAACGTTTAATACAGATCTTATTTACAAATAAACATATCTTTCAATACAGGATTTATAAGATCTATGTCTATAAATTTGACTCTTTGAAGTGTTTAAAATTTAATTTTGTACATTGAACTTAAAAGATATCTACTGTACCTGATAAGTTTAATTTGAAAGTCTATAGGTTGAAAAAGATTACAAGAGGGAAACTACAAATTCTTAATAAACACCTTATTTATAATAAGTCGGTAAAATGTATCAATACATAAAAATCATGGTACAAAATAGGTACATCAATATACATCAAAATAATCTCATACAAATGAACATAGTTATATTCAGAATAAATGTACAGAACTTATAAAAATGGGAAATAAAATGAAATCAAAAAGTATCTCACCTGAAAAGATTATGGAGACAGCCTGATTGGTCAGATCTTGGGACCTTTCAAGTTGATTGGTCAAGACACAGCGTAGGTTAGGACAAAGAAAAAAGTGAAAAACATCTTTCTAGCAGGTTTGTTATATAAGCCTACCTGAGTACTAATCGATTGCGACACGGCCGATAATTCTTTAACAAAGGACGAACGATTGAATAAAGCCTATACCTGAGTTCTTAATTGATATGACAGCTGGGATTAACAGATTTCAGATTACTTTATTTAATTAACCTCAGATCATACATGACATATGAGGATTGACATAATTGCATTGATATACAACATAACGTAGTTAGCATGATATACCTGTATACATTGTACTAATTAATCACAAAGTAGTTTGGGTTATGTACTTGAAAAATGCTTCATAATATGTGAAATAAATTTACACAAGTTCAACAGTTCATTTAAATTGTTTGTTGTCATAATCTTAATGAATTAACGTACATTTGGATTTACATAATATTGTGTACCTATGAAAATGTTTCTTAAATTAGATAAGTAATTACAGACTAAAAGATAATGATATTCATCGCCAATTTCGTTGCTATTACATAAAACACATTTCCTATTTTCCCGTGTTATATTGTTCCATCTTCCAACTTCAATAGGGAGACGATTGTTTGTTGTTCTAAATTTGGAAAAAAAACACTTTACATAGTGAGCGGGTAAGGTTGAGATAAGATAATTTTCAATTTTTATATCAGACTTTATTAAACTATACATTTGTCCTTTGTTAGAATTAACAATTTGTTGTTGCCATTCCTGAAAGTTCTGGTCAGACAACCTTTGTTTGATAGTATACTTCAGGCAATTCACATTTTAAAAAGATTGACTATGCCAAATATTACTCATACCACAATTGTCCAATGTAGACTTTCCTGCTTGTAACCACTGAGACTGGCAATTGTTAAAGTAATTGTATTTCAACAAAATATTGTACACTATGTGAGCAAGTTTACAGTCATGTGACTCGACAATTCTAGCCCAGTAAGTAACCACCCGTGTTTTGATATGTACACTTAGTGGGACACGTCCGGTCTCACCATACAACATATATCTCGGTGTACTTTTTTTAACACCAAGTACATTTCTCAAAAAATCTAAATGTACTTTTTCTATACAGGCTTGTGAAACCCCAGATTTCACAACAATATGTTTGGTCAAAAAGTATTAATTGACAGTCAACAGGTAATCTTAAACTATGAATTCTAGTATACAGAGCATACTTGGCTTTTGTAGCCTGTCGTCCAAGATTAATTTTCGCTTCTGCGAAATTCCTACTTTGTTTAAATACAATACCAAGATATTTGTAACGGTCTACAATTTCTATATCCTTCCCATCCATTCTAAAATGGTGGTTCGGTGTACCTCTACTACCAAAAATAACTATCTTTGTTTTATTTACATTAAGTTTGAGTTTCCATGTATTACAATATTCATTAAACATATCCAGATTATATTGTAGATCCGTCGCATTATCTGCGATAACAATAGTATCATCGGCGTAACATAAAATGGTAAACTTTATACACGTATCCAACATTTCTCTATCGTTCAGAGTTACACCCTCAAAGCCTTTGTGTAGTAAAAAAAACTCTCTAGATCGTTCAGAAATAAGGAAAAAAAGTATGGGAGACATATTTTCGCCTTGCCTTACTCCGGTTTCACATGGGAAAAAAGCTGAATTGGTATTATTTATTTTTATACATGATTTAATACCATTATACATATTAACAATAATATTATACACTTTTCCGTTTATACCATATTGTATTAACTTTTGCCATAAGCCTAGACGCCAAACGGTATCAAAGGCTTTTGAAAAATCTATAAAGGCACAGTATAATTTCTTTTTACCATGTTTTAGAATATTGATTAATGAATGTAAAACAAACATGTTATCTAGTGTACTGTATCCACAGTGTCATAGGTGTCGAGAAGGTCAGACGTGTTTCCTTTGCTCAGCAAATTGTTATAACAACTGTGGTAATAAGCAAGGGATATGCATGATATTCGATATGGTGGATGATTGAAGGACTCTCTACATGTTTATATATTCATATCTTGTGGAAAATATGGAAGGAAATGGGAAACAAAGGTACTTACCTGGGATACTGACAAGTACTCATACCTACTTACCTGAAAACTTACCTGTGTAGTGAATGGTGAACATGTAATAACGTATACCAGACTATATACACTCTGTAGTGATGTGTTGAAATATAAAATTAGAGTTGATTCTCTACTACAACTGTAATCATTGTGTATATTCACCAAAATAATTACATAGTTCACCAATATGTCGGATACACCAGCAACGGAAAAATCAGTGCAATAAATACTACGTAGCCTCGGTGAGCTAAGTTTAGGACTGGATATCATAGAAAAGCACATGAAAAAAATTGACAATATCGAAAATGGCCTGAAAAGTTTGACAGGAAGAGTTCGTGTCTTGGAGAAAGAAGTACGTGAGACAAAAGAAAAAACGGCTGAATGTGAAAAAAGTGCTGAAACCATCAATCAATTTTATGAACAGATAAAAGAAAAAAATGAACAGAATACAATGGAAATTAAGCGGTTACAGAAACAGCAAGAGCTGGCAGAGTATAATGCGAAGTGTGCAGAAAATAGATTGATGGAGGTATTAGAAACTCAGGAAAGTTTGCGGGAGCGAGTAGAAAATGTACAATGTAGATCGATGAAAAGAAACCTAATATTTCATGGCATCCCAGAAACACACAATGAGGAAATTGAAGCAAAGCTTAAAGACTTTTTCCATCACAGTCTGAAAATTACAAAATCAGCTGAACTAGCCAATGTACATAGATTTGAGAAACGGTACAATGATAGACCAAGGCCTATTGTGGCTGCATTCCTATTTCAAAAAGATTTGGAATTGGTGCGGGACAGTGGTAGACTTCTAAGAGGTACCAGTTATGGTATAAATGAACAGTTTCCTAAAGAGGTGGAAGAGAGACGGAAAATTCTTTATCCCGCGTTAAAAGACCTTAAAAGGGCGGGTCATAGAGTTTAGCTGGTAAGAGATAAACTCTATGTGAATGGAGAACTTTACACACATAATGATAAAAGAAGACAGCAAATGCAAACCGAGTTACTACCCGGTACATACTTACCAAAAAACTTCAGCCATGCACCATACACCTGAGGACGGTACAGGTCATGGTGACGACCACAATGTCACCCAGTTTACAATATTTGCTGATAATGGTCCTATATCCAAATGGTTGAGCATTCCTCCTAGTACTCCTGGCCGTGGTGGCGAGGCCACGCCAGTTGAGGAAAAGAGGAATTATGGGCTTTGTCCAAAAGTGTTGTGTGCCCCTCCTAGTACTCCTGGTTGTGGTGAGGAAAGGAGGGAGGCCGGATCTAGACCATGTTTGTCGTCTGCCCCTCATAGTACTTGCCCAAGCTTGTTGTGGGCCCTTCCTAGTACTCCTGGTTGTGGTGGCGAGGCCACGCCAGTTGAGGAAAGGAGGGAGGCCGGATCTAGACCATGTTTGTCGTCTGCCCCTCATAGTACTTGCCCAAGCTTGTTGTGGGCCCCTCCTAGTACTCCTGGTTGTGGTGGCGAGGCCACGCCAGTTGAGGAAAGGAGGGAGGCTGGTTCTAGCCCAAGTTTGTTGTGTGACCCTCCTACTACTTCTGGTTATGGTGGTGATGCCATGCCAGCTGAAGGAAATAGGGAGGCCGGGTCTAACCCGGGTCAATCTGTTTCAGATCACCTTGCTAGTGTAAGAGAAGTTATGGAGATGGATGAGGCAGTGATAAATAACGTCCTCATCCCGGGCAAGGACCAGCCTGCAGAGGCTCAGCAGTCTGCATAGGACAGACTGGAGAGTGGGGCATATAGTATTATGTCATGGAATGTTTGTAGAAATCTTAGTGTGAAGTTGCAAGACCATGATTTTTTAAATATTATAACAAATCATGACACTATTTGTCTGTACGAATGCTGGGTAAATCAAGATGATGATATTACGATTAATGGTTATGATACGCATATGTTTCCTAGAGTAAATGGTAAGGGAGGTGGAATTGTATTATATATTAAAAAGTTAATCAGTAATAGTTGTACAGTTGTAGAAAATATCTTAGACTGTATTGGTATATTAAGATTAAAAGATGTTAAAAATGCAGTAGAATATAATGGCGATATATTCATATTAGCATGTTATTTTCCTCCGATAAACAGTGCTTTTTATGAAAAGCATGATATTGACCTATTCGTTACATTAGAAGAATGTGTGTCAAGATACAATAGTTTAGGTAGAATTATAGTAACAGGTGATTTTAATAGCAGGACTGGTGAGACAGAAGATTTTATATCATTGGATGTAATTGGAAATTTTCCAGGGCATGTTTTATCAAATATTTTTAATTATATACCAGATAATGATATGCCAAAAAGATGTAATACAGATAAATATATTAATCAGTTTGGAAGAGAACTTCTGGAAGTTTGCAAAACAGCTGGGTTGCGAATTGTGAATGGCAGGCATCATGATGATGTTAAGGGTGAAATTTCATTCTATAATAAGATTGGTTCTAGCTTGATTGATTATGTACTAGTTAATGATACAAAGTTTGATATAATTCAGTATTTTAAAACTGGTGAATTCAATCCATTCTCTGATCATGCACCTTTGACGTTTACGATAGAAAAAAACAATCAGAGGACGGCTGATAAGTATGCCCAAAGTGAGTTAAATAGTACTAATATTTATACAAGTAGCAAATGGAATGAGGAAAATACACCTATTATTTGTGGTTTGCTAAATGAAAATATTGATGCCCTAATGAAAACTTGTAATGTCACACAATACGATCAAGATGGAATTAATACGTGCGTGAGTAATTTTAATAGTTTACTTAATGAATTGATAGACCCGTACTGTACACATATTGTGAGAAAAAGTTACACAGACAGTGGGCGAATATCTACAAGGGGAGATAAGCCATGGTTTACCGACCTCTGTAAGCAGAGGTACATAGACTACAAAAACGCTCTACGTATTTTCAATACGTGCAAATCTAATCACAACAGAGACTACCATGGAAGTAAAAAATCTGCATATAAGAAATTAGAATGTAAGTTAAAAAAGAGATACAGATGTTATCAAGGAGATATGCTGAATTATTTGCGTAAATACAATCCACGTGCATTTTACAAAACATTCCGAAAATATAAAAACAATATTAACACCGATCTAAATGTAACAGATTTTTATCAACATTTTTCTATGCTAAATACAGGCGTGCCCAACACTGATAAAGACATTTATGATTTTTTGTTTGATTGTGATGTTAATTTTGATTCTCCTATATTCAAGGAACTTGACGTTGATATAAAACCGTCTGAAATACGTGAGGCTATTGGAAACCTTAGTTACAATAAAGCTTGTGGTCAGGATGGTATACTCAACGAATACTTTATACACTGTACAGATATTTTAATGCCATGTCTTTTAGCCTTATTCAATCATATCTTCAGGTCGTGTTATTTCCCATCCTCCTGGTCCATAGGTAACATTGTACCTGTACACAAGAAAGGTGACATTAATAATACAGATAATTATCGGGGTATTACGTTGCTTAGTTCTTTAGGTAAACTTTTTACAACCGTTATTAATAACAGACTGGTAACATTTGAAATGAAGTACAATAAGATTACAGATGCGCAATTTGGATTTAGAAAAAACTTTTCAACAGTTGACGCCATATTTGCCTAACAAACATTAATTAATCGTACATTAAAAAACAGAAAACGTCTCTATTGTTGCTTTGTGGATTACACCAAAGCATTTGATTTTGTAAATAGACAAAACTTATGGTATAAAATGATCAGAGAAGGGGTTGGTGGAAATATGTTAAAAATTATAAGATCGTTGTATAAAGATGTTAAATGTTGTATAAAATATAATGGTACTCTATCTGATTATTTCGGCTATGAAAACGGATTATTTCAGGGGGAAATATTGTCACCTCTGTTGTTCTCCATGTATGTGAACGATTGCGAAATGCAATTTTTATCTGACAATTTTCCATCCATAGAAATACAAGAGATTAACATGTTTTTACTAATGTATGCCGATGATATGGTGGTCATTGCTGAAACACCAGATGGATTGCAAAAAATGTTGAACTCCCTAGCGAAATATACAGAAAAGTGGAATCTGACTGTAAATACAGCGAAAACAAAAATTGTTGTATTCCGTAATGGGGGGAAATTAAAAGAGAATGAACAATGGTATTATAAGGAGAACAGATTAGAAGTATTGGATATATTCTGTTATTTAGGAGTGCTGCTTAATTTTAATGGTAAATTCAGACAAACACAAAAGCATATTGCTGACCAAGGGAGAAAAGCATTATTTGCAATCTTGAATATCTGCAAAAGTAATTTTTTCAATATAGAAACGCAATTAGCGATGTTTGACACATATGTAAATAGTGTACTTAGTTATGGGGCGGAAGTGTGGGGCTTCCATACGGCGCCCGAAATTGAAAAAATACATGTGAAGTTCTGTAAACGTATTCTAGGTTTACATAATAAGACTAGTAATGATATGGTGTATTATGAATTGGGCAGATACCCTATGACTATAGTCCGTAAGTTCCGTATTTTCAATTACTGGATAAAATTAAGAAATTCTGAAAACTGCATTCTTAAATCATGCTATGCTGAGATGCTCGGCTACAATGACAATTGGTTACAGAGTGTTAAACAGGAATTATACAGAATAGGTCTTGGATACGTGTGGGAAAACCCAGTTGTAATTAATCACACATTTCGTATAATAAAGGAACGGATTTGTGATATTTACAAACCAGAATGTTTTAGAAAGATCGCATCATCCTCAAAGGGTGAACTGTACCAATACATTTGTAATTTTGGACATCAATCTTATTTAACTAAAGCCATTAATTTTAATTATGTAAAGCAAATATGTAAAATTAGACTATCTGCTCATACGCTTAATATAGAATGTGGCCGATATAACAATATAGATCGAAGAAACAGATTATGTAGTTTATGCGATATGCATGACCTGGAAGACGTATTTCATTTTATTCTGAAGTGTCCACGCTATGCCGAAATTAGATGTAAATTTATAAAAAAAACTATTATATAAGACATCCCAGTATGTTTAAATTAATAGAGTTGCTAAACAGTAATAAAATCGCGGAAATAAGAAATTTAGGTAAATATTTAGTGCATGCGAACAAAATGAGATCACAATTGCTTATAAATTAGTTCTTCACTCTCCACTATAGTACCTACATTTTGTACATTGTAATTCTATATAGTACATCGCATAATTGCATGATTGTGAATTGAACTGTATATGGATATTTGTTGTAACTGATAAGTCAGAAAGACTTAAGGTAATAAAAACTTGAAACTGGAAACTACGGAAGCCCGTCTGTGTCTCGCTGAGAATATTGCCAGCAATCTTTCCTGTAGCGTGCTGCGCATGCGCCAGCCAGAGTCGATTTTTCACCTGTACTGTTACTATAGATTATATAGAGAGAAAACCTTTAAACTTGAATAAAGCATTTTCTCGTTCAAATGACAGTATTTTTCCCGTATACATTTGGATGATAATTTTATAAGCTTTAATATGATATTTGAAAATTAAAAATAAGTTGTGAGGAATCGGTGCATTTTTTGAGTAAATGTACACTGTGTTGACTTAAATATCTGTACATACTCAAGTGTAAATATGGCGTAATTTCAATGATTTATATTTGATAATTAGAATTTTATACTAGTTAATTTGTTTAGTTTGTTTTACTTCAGCACTTTGACAGTGTATATCCATTATTAAAAACACTGTCTTAAAAACATACATTAAAATAAATATGTACGCGGAACAGGTCCAAGTTAAAACTAAGATATTAATCACAATTTACCATAATTAATGAATATAATGTGTACATGAAATTTATAAATATTATTGTATCACTGTAAATGTAATATCAATCAACATGAACTTGGCAAGGAGAAGATTT